CAATGGCGCAATCACCTCCACCAAAAGTTTACACACAAAAAAGTTATGTGTAAAAACCATCCTGAAATCACATATTCAGGATGGTTTTTACACATCACTGTCTTTCACAACTGCTAGACATGGTTGTAGTGTTGTCCAGGGGGTAAACCAGGTTTCTGATTCCAATGGAATCACATTCACCAAAAGTTTACATACACAAAAGGTATGTGTGTAAAACATCCTGGAAACACGTATGTGGCATCCAGTAAACCAAAAGCCAACCCAACACCAACACTTGACTACTGTCTTCCACACCACTCATATTTTTGTATCTACGGGATAATCAAGCTCAAGGAACTCAATCACACATTCACATTCTCCAAAATGTCACATACAAAAATGTTATGTTTAAACAACATCCTGAAATCACGTATCAGTGATACATTCACCTGACTGTCTTCCACACAACTCATTATCCCAGTATGTAAAAACCTACATACAATCAGGGATACGTTGAACCTACTCTGACGGTGTAGTGCCACACATGATTACACTTGTGTGTCACTCACAAATGTAAATATGTGTGTCACATTGATCACACATATGCGTCTCTCACAAACACATGTGTGACACACATTGGGACAATGTGTGTCACAACAAGAAGTGTGGTGTCACACTTTTCTCACTATTGTGTCACTCTCAAGTTGCATTTAATGAAATATCTCAAGGCGTAAGAATGAGATTCCATTAAGATAGAGACAAACAAAAAATTTAAGTAAGACTAGATTTTCCTTTAGGATTGGGAGCTTTAAAAAGTGCCATTATCTTAGCCTCCCTTTTCAACTTAGCCTTCTCTTTACGTATTCCCTCAATAGCCATGGCACGTACTTCTTTGAAGGCAGTTTCCTGTTCATAAGCCTTCACACGTGATTTACGGTACGCCTCCCACTCACTTGAAGACATGCCCTCTTGATCTCTGTCTTTTTCAAGTAGTGAAATACGGTCAACTAGGGTCTGTGAAATCTGACATGAGGAGCCGTACCGGGTAATGCGGCACTTTGTAGGATGTATTTCTTCTCCATATTCATTGTATGTGATCGATTGAGATGTGTGATGTTCGACCTGGTGCAAGGCTCAAGTTAGGGACCATTTTATTATTTATTATACACTTAACACTCACCTTAGTATCCCATACAGTTTCGTACAGACCATCCAATGGATCCAGGTCTACCACAATGTCAAACTCCTCCATGATAAACATAGCTCCACATATTGATCCCTTACGAGGAGATCCTTCCACCTGATGAGGAATTCCAGTTTCACGATCGATCAGGCAGTTGATTCCATATGCGTACTGGGTGTAGTCGCCATCTTGATGAGGATTGTTGAAAAAGCCATCAGCTGAAATTGCCATGTTGGAAGCAAAGACCTTCCCGTTAGGCGTATCTTGCCACTTTAGATCGTCAAAACCGGGTACCTTGGCATCAAACCCAAGCTGAAGGTTTGATATGAAGATGGAAAAAGCTAATGAACCAAAGCGTTCAGCCAGGAAATCGCGGATCTTGTGGAATTTGGCCATTCTTTGTCGGTCATCATCAATACGGTCGACCTTCGAAGAAGTAAAATCATTGAGAGAATAAGGTGCTATTGTGATGATTCAGCAAGCTTCATTGAAGTAGATAAGGAATCCAAATTAACTGACCAGCTGAAAGGTCTAGGTCAGTTCCCCCCCTCCATCCCGCACATCCCATCCAGCCCCAAAAGATACCTGCCTCTTGAAGTCTCTTAGTGGCCCTATTAGTCAAACACTTCCATCGAGCATGTGCTGTCTTGTAAGTTGTTGAGATCGCTTCATCAAACGCCGCACGGTCTGAGGGAGTGAGATCTTCAAACTTGGTGCATCGAACAACCAAAACGAGCGAGAGATCTGCTGCATTGATGACAGCAACTGTTCCAGAGTTGATCATGATCGGAGGTCGATCAATAAGATAGTGATCACTATTCCTACTCCATCGGAATATAAAGAGAGTATTGGGAGGAAGTCCAAGCTCCTTGGTAAGTCTAGCTTTGATTTCAGTGCGGCGAGTATGCCTTCGAGGATAGATTCGGCCTAAGTCGTAGTAAGCCTTCCATCGTTCAGTTCGTCGCTTGACTGCAGATGGTGACGTTTTAGACTTGAAGTTTTTTTTCTGGTAACCATTCTTATCGGCTCTTTGCCTTCTTTTTTGACGTGACATGTTGAACTATGATGAAAGTAAGCAATGATCATAAGTATATGACGATAAGGTTTTGAGAGTGTGGTGGTGTGCTGCTTACTCTAACAGATGACTGAATGAAGAAAGGAAGCGAAGGATTGTAAGATCTGTAATTAGAAGGATAGCGAGCCGTATGACCAGATGGATCGTAGCCGGAGGCCAACAACACTCTGATCAAGCAACCACGACTAAATTTTAACAGGTTTGATGTCTTTTGAACGAACGATCGATGAAAGTGAGGGAAGAATGTTGGAAAGACTGTTTGATGTTAAAACTCGAGGATAAAGGTCAATTTAAGAATCGAAAGGTATGTAAAGCATTCGATTTGATGTTTTCTTGCGTTGATTTGAAGATGAGATGTTCAATGGTGACCTGATTGAGGAGTTTGAGGTGGATAAGGCGTCGGAATCGTTGTATCGGGAGGTATGACGGTGGTTGAGGCGTGTAGAGGGCGAAAGACTGAGCCAGATGGCCAGATGGAGCATTGCTACCGGTACAAATTCCGTGGTACCGGTTGTTAGGTTTCGTTTGGTGATAGTGAATTGGTACCGGTACAAATGGCGCGGTACGTTGTCAGGTCTCAACCCGTGACATATCCATGTTGAAACCTAACAAATAGGTGTACCGGTACATCTCAGAGGTTGAGACCGGTACCGGTGGATGGCTGATGGCCTCACAGCTTACAGCTGTGAGGAAGAAGTTGTGGGTGGCGTGTCACAACTGTAAAAGTCGTGGCACAGCAGCTGTGCGCGCTGTGTCACAACTTTTACAGTTGCAACTGCTGTGTCACAACTTTTACAATTGTGTCACAACCGTAAAAGTTGTGACACAGCAGTTGTGCGCACCGTGTCACAACTTTTACAGTTGCAACTGCCGTGTCACAGCTTTGACAATTGTGTCACAACCGTATAAGTTGTGACACAGCCGTTGTGCGCACCGTGTCACAACTTTTACAGTTGCTACAGCCGTGTCACAACTGGTACAGTTGTGTCACAACCGTAAAAGTTGTGACACAGCAGTTGTGCTCATCTGTCACAACTTTTACAGTTACAACTGCTGTGTCACAACTTCTACAATTGTGTCACACCCGTAAAAGTTGTGACACATGAGCTGTGCGCAACGTGTCACAACTTCGACAGTTGCAACTGCTGTGTCACAACTTTTACAATTGTGCCACAGGCGTAAAAGTTGTGACACAGCAGCTGTGCGCCCCGTGTAACAACTTACACAGCTGTGAGACAGTGCGCACAGCTGGTGTGTCACAACTTTTACGGTTGTGACACAGAGGTTGTGCGCACCGCGTCACATTTTTTACAGCTGTGACACACCAGTTGTGCGAGCTGTGTCACAGCTTTGACATTTGTGACACAGCAGTTGTGCGCACCGTGTCACTACTTTTACGGTTGTGTCATAATACCTAACACCATTTAAATCAAGAGTGAGAAGAGTTTCTTCCAAAAATTTGAACATTTTGAAATTAAGAATATTTAATCAAGTAAATACCAGAATCAAGAAGACAAAGTTTTTTTTTGAAAGGTGAGACAAGAAGAGAACATGAAGACACAATGATAGGGTATCTTATTTCAATGGTCCCAATAGAAAAAAAAATTACTCAATATTCAGGCTCAGACAAATCAGAAGAGCCGGATTGAAGATCAATTTGACGGGCTTTGGACCAATCAATCTTATTGTTCTCACTTCGGCGCCATTCATTGAAGACCTTGATATTACCTAGAAACCTTTCCTCCCATCCAATAGCAATGTCTTCCCGTAATTTGAACCACTCAGATTGTATATGAGGGATTGGGAGGTCAGGTCGGATATCCAGTGAGAGTGATATACAGTGGCAGTTATCAATCATTCCCAGAATGATTGGCTCGGCATCTTTTTCTTTTTCCGGTGAAGTGAAAAGTGGTAAGAAAGTCGCAGAGTATTGGGCAATATCTGAGTAAGATATGACTGGTCGTTCGTAAGTATTTGCTATAATACAGCAGCCTCCAGGAATCGGGTAGTAAAACTCCCGGCCTACTACTAAGTTGGTGTTTTCAAGAATCGAGAGAATCTTCTTGATGTCAAATGGCTCAGATACCAGCGTCGGAAGGTGTTTCGTATACCAAGGGAGGCGTTTTTGGACTTCTGCAAGCATTTCACGCCTTACCATCGGGGCCTCGTGAACACTTCGACCAAGTTGTGCCGCAATTGCGCCAAAGGTACAGAGACCTTTGGCTGGTGGGTTAACAGCGGTTTTGATGAAAGGGAACAATTTAATGGGGAGAGTCTTGACACAATCCCATCTCTGCAAGGTGAATCATAATATCAAATCAGGAAAGTTGCTTGTATAGATTGTGTCTCTTCTCATAAACTAAGAAAGGAAGCAAGCAAGGAACCTACTTTGACTACTGCCTGGTTTTCTTTTGACATGTTCTTTATGCGTTCCATCACCTTTTGTTCGTATTGAGTTAGCTTCGGCTTTGCCTGCGACTTCGATCTTGGTTTGGAGGCTTTGTGGTGCAAAGTAAGCTGATGATTCAATTAGTTAAGACGAGTGATGAATATGGAACTTGGAAACTAACTTGATGGTTGTTTTGTGTCCGAGCTTTTTTCACCTTTGGTTGATCCTAGAGTGAACACACGGAGTTAGTTGATGATATTCATGGAGTTATGATTTGATCTCTTACATTTTCTTTATTTTTAGATGTCCTGCTTGATTTTCGGGTAACTTGAGCCTGGCTTTGAGCCCTTGTTGTTATTGGACTCGTAGACTGGTTATCGTGTGTCGGCTTTGGGGCCTCCGAAGCTGAAGCTTTTCTCTTCAGGGTTTTCTTCTTCGGTCAAAAAATGATGTCCTTCTTCCTCTTCCAAAATTTGCGGCTCCTGGTCCTGGTCATTGTTTCCATTCGATTCTTCACTTTTCGAGTCTGGGCTTTCTCGATTCTTGGTATTATGCTAAGAAGTCAGATCAAGACATAGTAAGCATAAAATACGATGAATCATGTCTGAAAAAACTTACCAAGCTTTGTTCCGGAATAGATCTGATGGGTGACTTGTTCAAAGATTGCAAATCTTGTGTGTCTTCATCATTAGATCGATTTGAAGCGTTTGGAGTTGTTGAAGCTTGGGATGTGGTATTCAAGATTTCGGAGAGAGGATTAGGAGGGAGAGGTGTGACAATCGTAGTTGAGGCTGTGCCAGCGAGTCCAGCAGCAAGCTGGCATTCGGAAAGGAACCGAGTCAGTAGAAAGGCTTGAGACTGGATCGGCAGAGCTTGCATTTGCTGCTGCAGAGCTTGGTATTGAAGTATAAGCAGCGGGGTAGTGATCGCAGAAGTGGTTGGGATCGCAGAAGTTGTTGGAATCACAGAAGTTGTTGGGATCGCAGAAGTTGTTGGAATCACAGAAGTTGTTGGGATCGCAGAAGTTGTTGGTTGTGCTGATTGGATATGAGGTATAAGGAGTTGTCCTGAATGAATTTGAGGTGTTATGTTGTTTTGAAGTTTTTTTTCTTCTTCTAGGCGGATGGCGTCATGTATAATTGAAAGATCATGCTTGTGTATATTGAAATCAGCTTCATGATTGTGATTTGCGTTTTGAATTGTAAAATACCAAGTTCCTTTTGAAGAATCGAGTTTAGTGGTGACAAGAAATTCACACGTTTTGGTATTCGCATTTGAAGTTGTCTCCTTGTGTCGAGTCGGTCCTAGATAACATTTGAATTGTACCCATTTCGGCCTAGAATCCTTGATGGTTGCACGGAAGCCATTATTGTTGGTGTGTTCCTGAATATACAGGGTGGCATGAAGTCGAGTTTTGAAGCCAGCTCTAGCCTCAGGTGGTGAAATTTCAGTCATTGTGAGTCTGAATGAATCGATCGAGTCGGGTATGAGATGGGTTTGTAATGATAAAGGCGAAGAAATGAAAAGAATTGTGTTGGAGTTCAAAAGTTGTGTGATGTGTTGTGAGAAGATGTGTGAGATGTTGTGTTTGATGTGGGGATGAGTGAGGAAGATATAGAATTGTGTTGGAGTTCGAAAGTTGTGTGATGTGTTGTGAGAAGATGTGTGAGATGTTGTGTTTGATGTGGGGATGAGTGAGGAAGATATGGTAAGTACGATCGATCTGAAAGTCAAAAGAAGAAGAGTGATTGGACGTACCGTGGTATTTCAGCCGGCAAGGGTTAACAAATCAATTTGGTTCTTGAATCCGCCATTCGATGGTTTGAAAGGATTAATGGAAAGAAGAAAAAAAGATTGAAAATTGTAGTTGTTCAATGAAATCAAGTTTGAAAGCGTAAGTAAATTCAATCAGAAGTGAGTTTGAAAATAGACTGGACTCACCAACGTCAATTCCAGACCGATGTGCCACTGGTTTGAGGTATGTGTTCGATTCGGGCGGTGTAGGGATTGGTGAGGTGTTCGATGGTGTGGGTTGTTGTGTTTGATTGTTCGGTTGTTGTGTGATGAGTGAAAACCTAGATCAGACTTGGTGATGGAGTTAGGTTTAGGAAAAATGGGTGTCAGTCCGTGTCACACATCAGACACACAGTCTTACACATGACACACACATGTGTGCATGGGTGTGTACAGCATGGACTTAGGTATGTACTCAGTGTAGGTGACCGTATTGTGTCACAGCCATTCACACGTTTGTGTGCGTATGTTCTATCATGTGCCACACAAGTGTGTGTACGTGTGTACAAGATGTACGTGTGTGTGTAGTTAACTCAAGCTACCGTGTTGTGTCACTTACCTACACATGTGGGTGTGGTGTTGTTAAACATGTGTAGACAGTTGTGTTGGCTTGTGCAAGCGGACTTGGCATGCTCGGGGATGGCTTCAGAGGCATCTGAGGCATCTCAAATGCATCTGCCGCTTATGTACGGAGCCGCTCCGAGGATACGGTACCCGTTTTCCTCGGTTCGGGGCCGAGGTGCCGAGGTTCACGAGGTGAGTCTTGACCCATAATCTCACGGAACTCTCACCCTTCTGGAACGCGAAAATGGAAGCGTGTTTTGGTTACATCCCATTGACGGTCTTCGACACGACCTGGCTGTTGGCAGATAAAGCTCACATGACGACACGAACTGCCCCAGCGAAACAATGCACAGACGTCATCAGATACACCGGTTTACGAGTGACAAATGAATGGCGACAGTCTTACTTACAATGGTCGGACTCCTTCGATTTATGTGTGCAGTATTGGAGAGAGCTATACGACCGAGAAGACATAGCGTTGAGACTAGAAGCACATAAGAAAATCGTGCTGAGTTTAAAGTCGAAAGTCCATCAAGCTTGGGCACCGGCATTTCGATACGATATTCTACATCGGACTAATGTGTGGAGCCACCTGATGCCTAACGGACTACTTTCCGACGTCGGCACAAAGAACGAGGAACTGTGGGAGCAAGCGTTAGCAGACTCGAAAGCCAACAACGACAACATCTACCCAGACAACCCGTACGTGATAGGAGGTGCAATGGAACATGTATGCCCATGGACAGGGAAGTATCACGTCGGTTGGGATCTAGCAGCCGCAAACCCAGACGCCCAAATCCAGGCGGTAACAGGAGGAAGGCTGGTATCACACAACCCTGTGCCAGCAACGCAACGCACCGCAACACGAGTGTTTTTTGGTGCGTTGCTCCGCAACACGCAGCACAAACCTGAATTACATGCTGCGCTGCGGTAAGTACCGCAACAACAAATGGTGAGGTCAGGTTGCGCGGCGCCTTGACCGTCGCGCAACGCAACAGGCGCAACAGCGCCAAAAAAACGCCGAACTGTGATTATTTTTGGGCAGCAACGCAACAAATGTTGTTGCGGCCCAAAAAATCCATCGATTTGACAAATGATGTTGCGCTGCGGGTCAGGCCGCAACCTAGAACTTGATTCTATGTTGCGCTGCGGTCAGAAAAACCGCAACGCAGGCGCAGCGCAACACGCAACACCTGCGTTGCTGGCCCAGGGTTGTATCACATCTAGCGAGCTCAAACAATCATTCGAGCACGAACTTTGCCGGAAGTAGCTTTAACGGTGGGAGAGGCAGAGGAAGAGGAGAAATGAGAGGAAGAGGAAATTTCACTCAACAACCATGGAGAGGATCGAGTAGAGGTTCAGGAAATTTTGGGAATGGTTTTGGTGGTAATTTTGGAGGAAGTTTTGGAGGAAGCTATGGAGGAGGTTATGGAGGAGGATTCGGAAGAGGCAGGGGATCAAACGGGACAGGAGACCGTCCTAAAATAGGACCAGGGAGTTTTGATAAAAGTTTGGGAGCAAAAGCAAGCACGAGCAGTACCGCACAGAAGTGAGTTAGAAGACACAGTTGTTCTAAAAAAGTCCTCGATATTGTTGTTTTTTCTTTTCTTTTCTTTTGCATCCGATCCATCCATGCGTTTCAAGAAACCCACCTGTCTTTCACATTGCTCCACTCATGTCTCTAGAATAAAAGCTTCCTCCCCTAACACAATTAATCATAAGAAATGAAAAAAGGCAGCGTCCAATATAAGATTGAGAGTCCTGACATACCTTTTTTGCTATCCCACCGCCTTCCTACCCCAACCCTTTCCCTTGGTTCGTGAGCAGGCAGGTTGTACATGGAGAACCTGTAATCCGTAAAGAAAAAAGACCCAAAACCGGCGAAACGGAACGTTCAAAACCCGAGACGGAACAAAAGACAGAATCGTCCCTCGGGAAACATCCAAGATGGCCAACCGAAGTTAAGTGCCAAATGATAATAGGGAGGTGGGAGGAGTTAGTTGAAAAATGTGACCTAGGAGCAGAAGGGAGAGAAGTTATAGAAGGTTTAAAACACAGTTTCACTCAAGGAATACCACAGCATACTTTACCAAATATGAGGTGGTACACACCAGACAATCACGCTTCCGCCCTAGCAGTAAGAGAGAAGATAATGAAAAACCTTCGCAATGAGAAAGCCGCCGGAAGGATATTCGGCCCATTCACAAAAGAGGAAGTATACCGAAGATGGGGTTTCTTCAGATCTAACCCGATGGGAAGCGTAGTTAACAACGACGGGACTCTACGCATGATCAACGATTTATCCTACCCAGTTATGAAACACGACTTACCATCGGTGAACTCCATGGTAGACAAACACAATTTCGATACCTCCTGGGACGACTTCGAAGCTGTGGCAAGATATTTTAGAGAGAATCACGGGAAAGTGTTACTGTTAGCAATCTTCGACTGGGAAAAGGCCTATAGGCAGGCAGCGGTAATGTTGTTAGAGTGGAAGTATCTCACCATCAAAGATTTTGACGGCATGATCTGGATCGATACTTGTGTCCCTTTCGGAGGTGTTGCCGGTTGCGGAACTTTTGGTAAAATGGCAGACGTCTGGAGAAAAATTATTCAAACGCTATTAAAGGTGGACCGCATCTTCAGATGGGTAGACGATGTGGTAATCAAAATATGAGACCAATCAAAAAATCAAAACATCGAATTTTGAATTACATCAATTATATTACATATAGTTTAATATTTACATCATTTTATCATTCAAACAAACTTATCAAGATAAGTATAAACTATTAACAAACAGATTACAAAATGAAAGAAAGAAAAAAACATAAGAAAAATTCGAAAATATAGGTGTAAAAGTTGGAAAATGGTTTTTAGCTTATTTATAATTAAGTTATGGGTTTTATAAGGTTAGAATATGAAAGAACAACAGTTTATTATACAGGAACAATTTTAATATTCAAGGTTGATAAGGGGAAACAGAAGTTATTAGCAGGAAGGTACTTTTTCGAAGTTGGTAAACAAGGGTTAGGCGTGTAGTTTACATATGTAATGGTGGTAGTAGTAGAAATTAAGGTTGCCAAGAGGATTTTCCGGGATTTTTAAGGTTATAGAAGATGATGTCATATTACATGAGCAAGGAAAAGAGAGTAGTAGGTGTGAAAAGTGAAGAAAATAGGTGAAAATCGGCGAAAATGGAGGTTTTCAGCTAATTACATATGTCAAATGACGTCAGAATAAGTTGGTAGATGGCTCATTCAACGCAGAAGAGTGGATTACATAATGTACAACCTTTAAATCATTAGTAACGGAGGTGTATGTAAAAAGTTATAAGGGAAATAAGAAATTGGCGTGAATCTCGAATTTACAGTCACAAGACACATGTAACACCAAAAACCTTAACTTCACAACTCAATATCTTACTCATCACTCATCAGAAATAGGTCTTATAGGTGTCAGAAATGATCAGTAACACGTGGGCTACAAGATCCACTTTAGTAATCAAAAATTGGAGCACATCTGAAAAAAATCGTAATCTCAAAAATTGGGTTTCAGCTAGTTTACAAGGAAAAAATCACCTGTATTCATCTTAAGAAGTGCTGTACATTACATCATTGCGTCATTGATCACTTTTGGCTGTGAAAATTACATCATACATTAGTAACAAAATCATTACATTGCGTCATTACATGGTTTTTAGGGTTATTTAGGCGGATTTGATTGGTTTTTGAGGCTGTTGACTGTTGTAAAGATTGTTACATTTGGATATAAGTACTCCTTGATGAATTTGGGATTGTAGCGCCCTTTTCTGCATCTTATACCTTTGTTGTAGTGTTATAAATCATCATTTATTTACTATATTTGTACTAAGATCACTTAAATCCGCCCCTTCAAAGCAAGGAGAAATTTATTTACGTGTGTTAAAGACTACAAGTCTAATTGGGAATAATACTTACAACAGTATTGCTAGCAATAAACATAGTGTGTGACTTTTTTTTTGCGCTTAAAATCTGGGAATAATACTTAACAACAGTATTGCTTTATTTCTCTGGTGCCTTATCTATTTCTCTGTTATCACAAAGTGGTCAGCAAGTGCCCTTGTGCTGGTTTCTTTGAAGAAGGCAGTCTTTAGGCAACTTCTACTATATTACACGTAGTAGATTATCCCTTCTTAGGTGTTGTAAAGCTCTTGTTGAGCTTTAAATACTACAACGACAACATGATAGTGAAAGAAGAAGGAAGTGACTTACTTTTACAAGATGTGGTAACACTGAGCGACTCAATGGGAGTTAAGACTAACGGGAAAAAGCTGCAAGATTTTGCGGACGAACAAAAATATCTCGGATTCATTTTCAATGGACGAGACAAAACCGTGAGACTCCCGGACGAGAAGCTACAAGAAAGGATAGAGTCGATAAGAGAAATGCTAGAGCCAGATAAAGTGTGGAAAAAGACGGAGGCAGAACAGCTGATAGGGAAGATAGCTCACATAGTTTACCTTTTACCTCACATGAAGGCACATATCAGAGGACTGTACAGTTGGCTTAAAGTATGGAAGAAGACCAACGCGAAAAGGAGGATCTCTAGGAAGGCAAAGCTGGACCTAGAACGATGGCTCCGAGCCCTGACAACCTTCGAGCTGCGACGAATAGTGCCAACGCCAGCTCCAGAAGACGTAGGCTGGGTCGGTGACGCAAGCACAGGTTTCGGAATAGGAGTGAGGATAGGCGAAAGATGGACGAGGTATAAACTGAAACAGCAATGGGAGAGCGGAAACCTAGAAGAAGACGAGACGTGTCGCAACATAGCGTGGGCCGAATTCGCGGCGATACAAATAGGATTGTTGATGATTGATAAACTGATGGACACGAAGGGGAGAAATTTCATCGTACTAACAGACAACACGACAGCAGAGTCAGCCATCCAAAAACGAAAGTCTAAAGAGGAGGCAGTGAACAACGAACTCAAAATCATACAAGACCTACTTTTAGAGCTACAGTGCGACATCACAGGCGTAAGGGTAGAGTCGAACGATAACGAAGCCGATCCTCTGTCGAGAGGGAAATTAGGAAACCTCAAAGTACATAACCGATTAGAGCTGATACTCCCAAACGACCTAGACCAACTGTTAGAGACCGCATAATGTCAGTGATAAAAGAATCAAAAATCACACATTTTCTTCAAAACGCGGAAGGGGAGATTAAATGGAAAGGAAATGAGGTACAAACTCACATGATGTCTGGCGGATGGGCGCAATCAACTTTAAGTAATTATAGTAGCGGAGTTGGAAAATTACTAAAATTTGCAGCCGCAAAAGGGTACGATAGGAAAGAGGTGCTACCATTAACGAGAAAAAGATTGTACAAGTTCGTAGTATGGGCTGGGAAGAAGGCGGAAGAGGAGAAAGGGAAAGAAGATCAGCACGAGATAGAAGTAGAAACGATTAAAAAATACCTCACGGGAATAAAATGTTGGCACCTGTTTCACGACGAGGTATACCCAAGGTACGAGCCGTTAAAGTTGAAGGTGCTGTTGAAATCATCAAAAGTAGCAGAAGCTGCGTTAAGGTTGTCGGATAAAGAACAGAAGAAACCGGTCATGCTGAAGCACCTAGTACAACTGCTACAAGAACTATCGACGGAAGACAGAAGAGACCAGCTGGCATTGACAATCGCTTTAGTGGCTTTTTGGGGCATGGCTAGGTTAGGAGAATTGGTATCAGACAACAGTAAGAAACGACTACCAAAAAGAAACGACATGAGGTGGTCAGGGGATTATGGAAGCGTAACCATCGCCATTCACAAAGCGAAAACAGCAGCCCCGGGACAGATTCAATATTTGAAGTTGGTACTGCAACACTCACTTCTAGACCCGATCGGTGCAATCCAAAGATTAGTAGCAGACAACAGAACCGGCCCAAACAACCCTTTATTCTCCTATTTAGAGAAGAACGGAACTAGGAGCGTGCTAACAAAACGGAAGCTGATGGGGATATTTAGAAGAGTTTGGAGTAAACATAACGGAGGCGAAAAGCTATCAGGCCACTCCTTTAGAGTAGGAGGTGCAACGATAAGATGGAACGATAAGAGGCCATTGAAAGAGATAATGGCAATCGGCCGTTGGGAATCTAAAGCGTATGAGCTGTACTTACGGAAATATACACAGCAAGAAAAGAAGGAGACAAAAGAGTGGTGGAAAAAATTAGATATGTACGAAAACTATAAGAAACTGAACGAGGAAAGAAGTAAAGAGAAAGAAGAAGAAGAGAGAGAAACAAGGAGAAGGAAAGAAAGAGAGAACAACCGAGAGCGGAAGGGGGAAGAGACAGGAATGGAAAAGAAAGAGAGGAAACGAGCAGGAAATTGATGGGAAGTCAAGGTGAGCAGAAAACTTTCATCCTAAATGAATGATCTGTCGAGTACTGAAGTTTAAAATGTCCCCAATAGGAAACTTTAAAATAAAGTTAAATTGAATTGGGGAAAGATCGACAATTGAATTTCAAATACAAGCGGATAATCAAGTTTGTGATATAAAAAGTAGTTGATAACGGGGTTTGAGGGGGAAGATGATCTAAGAAGGAGTGAAAGCGTATGTAATACAATTGATACAATACAAAAGACTACACAGAGGAGCCTCAGAGCCGATGTCGTAGAAAGGTTTTCGCCGAGGCTCAGGACGACATCGTCCTGAGAGCGGAGGAGAAAACCTTGCTGACAGGCACTCCACGGCCTCCGGCCCCCCCCCACAACCGAGCTAGAACTTTATCAAGATAAAGATATAGCTTAGTAGCGATTGCCTGAAAGAGAGGAATGAGATAAAAGAATCTCGATAAAAACAAAAGCAAACAAAAAAGAACAAAGTTTATATGAAGATAAAAGAAGTGAGAATAGATATAGGCAAAGAAAGATAAAAGCCAAAAGACCACATAAACAACCCGTCTCGGGAAGTGTACGAGATGGAATGTCACATGTAACCTCCAAATTCAAAATTCACTCCAGTTTCTTTGTTGCCTTATAACTTTTTCACTACTCCTCCGCTACTAATGATTCAAAGGTTGTACATTATGAAACCAATGATACTGCGTCGAATGAACTATCACACACCCAATTCTGACAAGTTTTACCATATGTAATTAACTGAAAACTCCCATTTTTGATGAATTTTGACTATTTTCACGTCTAATAATGATTTTCCTTCTATCAAAAGATCATTCCACAGCACTCCAATCAATCACACAGCATTAAAATCCTTCTGAAAAACTCTTGGCGCAATCAATCCATCAATGACATCACTACACAGGAATTAATACCATAGTACCTTTCTTCGAAATTTCCCTTTTCTTGAATAACTTCACACCTCCCTTATCGATCCTCATGATTAAAGTTGCTGATGACTAATGTGATCCTTCTCTTTCACAATAAAACCTTCCTGAACCAATATCTCTTCTAATAATAAGCTAAAAACCATTTTCCAAACTTTCATACCCATATTTTCGAATTTTTCTCCAACTTTCTTAATATTCTTCTTATTCTTTCATTCTTTTCATAACAGTTTCCATTCCCAAAGATCCAAACTAAATGTTCTTCTTCCTCAAATCTCTTCTTACTAATTCTCTTAATTTGATTTTCACTCTTTTACTATTTTTATTGATCTTTTCGAATTTTTCTTTTACTCTTAAATGTTCTTATCAGTTGCTTATGTAAATATATGATTTGAAAGATAATGAAATGAAGATTATAAATCAACTATGATAGCCTTGATTACTAATAACTTCAATAATAATAGTGCCTTTGACCAAAAACTCGAATTTTCACATAATTTTTAAATTTTTTGCCTAAGTAGAGATCTTGCTCACCACAACGTTGAGGTTTGATTTTTGATAACGACGAGCTTAAGTTTGGAACGTGTCATTGACTCTAATCCAATCAGATCCTCAACCAATTCAACCATCACTGAACAAAATACTAAAACCATCATCACATGAACTCTTGCTTCAATTCGATATCACTCATTGTCATATTTGATAAAAACTTTTGATTTGATCAGCACTGTAGGTTCAACTTATGGATCCATTCATCCTGTTTGTCATAACCTTTCACCTACCTTTCCAGCAATCTCAACTGAATTCAAGACAACAACATTCGGTCTAACATTCTTCAGTAAGTGTTCATTTCAGCTATCACTACACAAAATGTCATCTTTACCGGGCGGTAAAGAAAACTATCGACATAGAAAAGTCCTGAGGCAACAGGAAGAGAGCTAAAAATCTGAAAAAATATGCACCTTGTTCCTAGATGTTGGGGCGTCATGACGAGTATTTTTTTGTATTTTACAAACAGATATTGGTTAATGTACTAACAATAAAGGCTGTGAATCATCAAAAATCGACCTGTAACAATACCTGAAATTTGGCCCTTGACTTTGAAGACAGAATTTTGAAATCTTCAAACATCAATAACTTTTGCAGTTCTGAATCAAATCACTCGATTTGAAGTGCATTAAAAAGGTGAGCCTTTCCTCTACATTTTTCATTGAGACATCACATCTGTAGCTGGTCTAAAAAAGATCCTACAGAGCTATTCATGCAGAACTGTCTGAACATATGTAGAGTGTTTAAGTGACTAGATAGCACCTTACTAACATTATGAAGTAAGAAGGAGAATAGTTCAGCTTTTGAATGAACCATAAATCGAGTTATTTGGAGCAGAATTGCAAAGTTATTGAAGTTTTTAGACCACAAAATATTGTCTTCATACTCTATGACCCAGAATTTCAGGATATTGTTACATGTGAGTTTTTGATGATTAACAGCGTTTATTGTTAGTACATAAACCAATATCTGTGTGTAAAATACAAAAAAATACTCATCATGACGCCCCAACATCTAGGAACAAGGTTCATATTTTTTCAGATTTTTAGATCTCTTCCTGTTGCCTCAGGACTTTTCTATGTCAGTAGTTTTCTTTACCGCCCGGTAAAGATTACATTTGGTGTAGTGTATGTTTCTTTTCAACATACAAATCAGGTGAGTTGATAAATCATGGCCTTTGACCGCTGTCCTTATGTATAATGGGTTTGCGTGCTAACTTGTGGTTTTGCTGCAAAACAAAGACTTTTGACAATGTTGTGTAGAAACAATTCCCCACTAAACGCCTCCAACAAATTCAACCCATAACCCTTGTGTGATCCGGGTGTTACCTACCTTCATCACCACTACTATCCTTGGTGGTTCAATCAACAATTTCCTACGTAAGATCTCATTTCCTCCTGCATCTTGTAACATACTACAACAAATACTGATGTGATTTCCCCACTGGAAGTTTCTGAACACAAATATGAAGGTAGTCGTCGCACTATCCTTTGAAGCTCAATCACTACCTCACTGGTCTGTAGCTCAATCAAATCATCATGACCGAAATGAACTTAATTTGAATCAGACTCTTATCCCCACCTACCTATTTAACAATCAAAAGTATCATCTTCATAAAAATCTCCTATCAAACAAATGACATTTTTTGCCTTACATCGTTAACCCAACCAACTCGATTGAGTAGGAGATGAATCAACAGAAAAAACCAAGTCATCATCATGATTAGTAGACCGAGCTCTTCTCATTAATGACTATAACATTACCAGGTAAACTTAAATCAAGAAGATCAATTAAAGGATTCTTGATCATCTCAACTTGGATCTTTCATCAACTCTTTAGTTTATGATCAAGTCACCCTCTTTCAATTAAATCAATTATAACTTCATTGGAAACTTCACCATCTGATCGTATCTTACCACCACATCAATATCAAACTGAATTGAAATCGGTAAGATCCAGATGAAGAAAATATCAGAAGCACAATCGACTGATTACAAATCATTTAAATCAATTTATAGAAGTCGTTATAATTTACAACCACCGAAAAGAATTAACGAATAGTTTAAGATAGTAACAAATGATGGAGGATTATCAGTAGATGAACTTGATGGATTGATGAATGGTTTAAAAACTTCCAGAACGATGGATCTAGATGGAACCATTAGAAGAACTATTGAAGTTTCTAAAATGCCAACTTTTTTGCTGTTGAATGTGATCACACTCTACTCTATTTCCGTTTATAATCTCATTCTACAAATCTCAAGTCTGATTTGTTTTTTCTTTTTGTTTTGGATACAGCTATCATGAACAGTTTTATGGTTGAAATTATCGAGGTGATGGTCAACGTTGTAGTCGTGATCATTATGGCAGCCCGATCAACCATCCAAGACAAAGCGTAAACTCAACTCCGAAAAGACTTGATATTGAGTATGGAATCCTTTCCGATCAAAATTAGCAGCTGGTATGTAGGTGGTTTTGATGATGTTTGAAATGCTGCGGGAAAGAAAGTTCTTCATCTTAGTGCAGCAAGTAGAACAAGTTTTAGTCATGAGGGTGATGTAGTCGGACCTACTGGTACAGTTTATGCTGTTGAGTTTCCTCACCAAAGTGAGAGAGATTTGATTAACATGATTAAGAAGCAAACAAAAGTTATCCGTTGGTACTCCACTTTACTCTTCTCATTCCATATATTGAAACAATCAGAAACTAATTGTTACGGATATTTTTATCTATTTTTTAATCAAATTAAATGAACTAAAATCTTAGCCATTGGTGCTGGTGGACATGATTGTGGATTATCAAAAAAATTGTTCATTTGAAGATATTACAATTGCGAGTCAAAGAATCAAAAACCACTAATTTTGATCAAAGATGAGAAAAGTTGATGGTTTGGGTGTTTTTTTCTAGATTGATTTAGATATGATTGAGAGTTCTAATTTGAATAGACAATTCTTATTTCAAAAAAAACACGTCAAAAGACCAAAAGCAATTGTAAGTCAATCCCAAAGCCTCTCCAAGAAACCAAAAGGCTAACCCCCTAATGATCGATTTCTTATTTTCTTTTATAGCTAGCAAAAGAAACAGCAATAAATTTTAATCCATCAGTCAAAATCAAAGTCTTTCAAGCCAATATATCAATTCCAGAATATTCAACTGTGAATTTTTGTAAGCCATTTGATTTACTTGTGGATGAATTAGATAATTTAACAGCAAGAAGAAATAAGTTATGTGTAGCTTCTGATGTACCTACAATCAAAAGTGATCCAGATAGGGATGCTGGTCAACTTCAACCTATTGCAAACCTTTCTTTTTGACTAATAACTCATAAATTAACTTGTTTTAGTTTAATTGTTGTTTTTTTATTTTAAAAGACATAAATGGCATGTTACAATTGTCAACCAAAACCAACACCTAAAACTTTTCCAGTTTGTACAATTTGATCAACACCTTGTACACCAGTCCATTGTATAGTTTGGGCTAAAAATTATTTATTTGGGTAAGTAAATCTTTATAAATTGAACAAATGAAGTAAAAAAAGACAAGATTCAATTTGATTGATTGTGTGGGGGCTCATGGGGGTTTCTTGACAGTCATTTTTTTGGTGCTGATGATGAGAATGATGGAAATGAATTACACAAAGCTTTGAAGAATTGAGAAAGTGGTAAGCTCATTTAAACCCTTCCTTAAACTTTTCTCCAAAATCTTTCAAAGTAACTTCTTATATTCTGACTGATAAAGTTATGGGTGATTCATTTGAAAAAAATCAGTAAAAGTATTAGACAACTACAGAATCAAAATTCAAGAAACAAAAGAAACCAAGAAGACTGGATCATCAAAAGTAGAATCATTAAAAAAGATTTTTGACAAGTTTATAAACAAAATATGCAAAAACTCATGATCCAAATAAACTAAGTCCATTAGATATTGATTTATTAGTTAATCAATCTAAACATCTTGTTGTACAAACCAATCAAACTTCAAAATCTACAAATGAATTAAAGTATCAACAAGTTTTGGATTTGTTAGATTCTCTCAACTTATTTTGTTCTAGGTAAGAGTTTATTTACTAAAAAAAGATGTATCAATACATCAATCTAAATTGATGATTCATTTGATTTATCAGTCTTATGAAACTTGGTGAACAAATGAAATCAAGTTCAGATAATGAACCATTAACATGGGATATACATAATGATAATGCATCAGATTTGGTTACTGCTGCTGAAAATCTTAGAGCTCATCTTTTTGGAATCCCTCTTAGAACACGCTTTGAAGTTAAAGGTGTGATTGTCTTTTCTATTCATTGTTCTTACAAGATCTTTGACTTACAACATTTTTTGGCTTATTTGGACGCTTAGGTACTTGGAAATGGCTGGAAACATTGTAAGAATTTCTTTAAAATCCTATCATCATTTGGTCTAATTTTATAATTACTTATTCTCGTGTTCAATACTTTTACACAAAAATAAATTGCAGCAATAGCCACAACAAACTCAGCAATCTCGGCACTTATAATTTCTCAAGCTAAACAAATCTTAACCAAAAATTCAAATTTAAATAAGTCAAGTAGACCATGGTATACAAAAACGTCAGATCAATCATTTAATTATCAGGTTCAATAGATGAGCCTAATCCAAAATGTGAAGTTTGTTCTTATATTTATGTAAGATTTAAAGTTTTATAAACATGTACTTTAATTATTTTTTTTGGAAGTAGTGCTTGAACGGATCGAAGATGGAATTCCAATTGAAAATCTGATGATTCAAGAATGTGATAGATTAATTTTACATCCAGATTTAATTCTTGGTGGTTACTGATTGAGATGAAGAATTTGCACCAATTTCATTTATTTCAGAAAGGTCAGATATAAGTTATTCAAATTTTACAAAAAACAACCAAGGTTGAACTGAAATTTGTTTATTTTGTGTTTTCTCGTAGTGTGAATGAGGAAGAAGCATAATAAATGAAAAAAGAATCCAGGGAAATCCACTTATATAATTTGGTTTCTTTGACCTTTTTTTGTATAAAAAGTTGATTTCTACCTTTCCTTCACTCTTTATTTCCTACTATATCAAAAGAAAAAATAGAAAAAATAGCAGTAAATATCAAATTACAAGTACCAAGTTGTGTTCTTTGTGAGAAAACCATTTAGCATTCCCCTCCTTCATTGGATAAATAACAAAATAATTGAATGATTTTTTCTAAAGTAATCAAATTTGCCATTCTGACCAACCAACCTTGAGTTTCAACAGAGACATGAAGATGTAGTACATCAGGACAAGATTGAAGTTGAACTGGATTTATAAACCACATGAAATATTCATTACCCAACCAACAATTCTCAATGAACTTGATAATCTCTATAGGTTTGAATGATGATCAATATTATCATTATAATCTGAATAGTTTGACTTGTTTAATACATTAATTCTATAAATTCTTTGCTTCATCCCTTCTGATAAATTTGAAAAACCTGATAAACCGTTATCAGGTGCAAGATGCTATTGTCACTCAATTCCCAATCTCCAAAATTATATAACCATGAAACATTGCAAGGTGATGATTTTGCAAGCTTTCATCAATATTATTTCATCGACATTGACATTGAAGAATCAATAGTGTGATCAAAAAGAATTTGTAGCAAAAGTTGAAACAACTGCCAATCTGATGATTTTACTTCCTACGTTTAACCACAATCTTCTCCTTGTTAATTGATGCTTGTTTCAAGTAAGCCCTAGAAGCAGGACAAACCTTTCCAAATCTACTGACAACATGACCATTCCCCTCCCAAGTTGTAAGTCATTTAAGAAGGCACAGAAGTCGGATTGGATCAAAGAATTATTCCAAATAAGTTGATTTATCAGACAGAATGTAAATTTAATTTTTATGAAGATTTCTTTTCAAATCCAACTCATCCATCTTGCTCAAAATTGGTTGTGCAATCACATATCACCTAATTTGTGTTTAGGCCCTCGTGACCTGTGTTGTGCCAAGTTTGTTCTGTTCTTGGATGCACGCTGTAATGATTGATTAAATGTCATTTTGCCAAGTGTTCAAGTCATGCTTTTGTCTGTTCTAAAAGGGATGTGTTCAGTTTTGTTTTAACAACAGCGGCGCCTGCCGCTAAGATGCTAGTATTGTTCTATATCTGACAAAAGTGGAACTGAGTGTATGCATCATTATATCTGTTACTTGAGTTAAATTATAAAATGTATGTTTGTTAAGAGTGACAGCTGAAGCACCTCTGATGATAGGAAATCCAGGTAGGAGATATAAATCATTGATCGAATGAAAACTGACAGCTCTGTTTGTAAATAAGATGATTGATAATGAGAAAAAGAACAGTTGAGATTAGAGGTTGCATTCAAGAATGAATGAGAGTTTGGAGTTTGGAGTTGAAAAGATGAACACCTGATAGAATGACCACCATTGAGGTGATAGGAATCAAAATCAACTTCTCCACTGGTTTTGATTTGGTGGTCTCAGTTGAAGGAAAGCCATGATGATATTGGAAACAATTTGCTTCAAGGTCTCCAATGATTAGATCTGAAGATTCAGAATGTTTAGTTCCAGTTGGTGATTTTGATGAAATTGGAATACCTAGCAACGTAGAAGTAGTAAGTGAGATCAATTGAGAGTTTAAACACTTTATTGGAGAACTTGGATTTGATCGATTGATCTGCTTTGAGGGTCCCTTGATTAATTTCCCCATCATTCAGGATTTTTGATCAAAGAAGCATCATAGAAAGATAAACAAACGTACCTCATGTTTAATTCCCAGATGTCCTTACCCAGCTTTCTCGCCAATCAGTACCAAGTTAACATCGTCATAAGGGGTTCAAACAACACGGTCTAATATTGGCAAACATTTGAGCGTTCAACACCTCATAAAAGAGAAAAAAAGGAAATCGTGTTAACGAATGTGAATGGGGTTACAGAGAGATAGATCAAGCTGTCTGAATCGAATCAGAAATACTCATAAACAAAGAAAGAACTCACCTAGGGTCAACAAGGAGAAGCGAAGAGGGTCCAAAATCGAAATCGAAATCATGATCATGATGATGGTTGCTAGGTGAAGAAAGCAATCAAGATGAATCAGTCAAAATGGCTAAAGATTTTCAAAGGCTGGGATCGATTTGTATAGTCCCATCGATGTAAAAGTTTGTTCATCGATTCTGAGTTGTAACTTGTTCACATTCATGATGTACAATCTTTAAATGCTTGAATGAGAAATATGGAGTTGATCGATGGCAAATTCTTCTGACTATTTGACCATTGCAGTTGGTAATGTGGAAAAGATCAAATATGCAAGATAGAGACCAAATCAAGCAATGAAACCCCATCAACATGACTTAGAGGAAAAGCGAATCTGTGCACTGGTTTCGAAAATGTGGTTTGTTTAATTGGGTTTTCCTATGTCCTATTGGCAATTGTAGGAAGCGATGCAGTACAAAGTAGAGATTGCATTGTTCCAACTCAGAATTCCCAAACCTGAACGAGCGCTGAATTCCGAAGCAACCGATCAGAGATAGGGTCTGAATTGGTCGGTGATAGAAATTCCGGGTTAGTCGTATCTGCCAAAATCGCCTTGGATGACGCAACCAAAGATTTTGATGCAGCTAGAAGATCAGAAGAGTCCGCGGGAGACAAAGAATCGTCTGTGGAGTATCCTTCCTCCTCAATTTCTTTCAAGTTGTCAATGACCCGTTCTATATAGGCTTACTTCTCCAAGTACGGTCTTCTCTTCTGGCTTGTCTTGCGGGAGCCTGTGAGGATGTATCAAGTTCAACAGGTGAACTTGGAACCTGTTGAAGAAAAATGAATTATACAAAAGTTAACCAAATGATCAACTTTGATGTATTGATGCTGAAGTAACCGTTACCTGTGTAGAACAAGTTTGAGGACTATAGATGACAACAATTCAAAATGGATAAGAAAGTGATCGGATTAGTTTGATTAAAGATAATCCAAGTTTGAAAGAAAAGACTTACGTTGGTTGAGGTTTAGGTTGAGATTGAGAATGAGGAGTGGATTGAGTTTGTTTTGAAAGAGAAGAAGATTGATGAAGTAAATACTATAAAAAATCTTCAATCAGGTGGTATTCGGAAAATGAGTTATGACTGGCAAGCCAAGTCAAAGCTGTCATTGGGACTATGTACCATCATAAAGAGTCAGAAACATTAAGTAATCAAAACTATCAAATTTTCATGCTGGTAAGGAGTTTTGTCCAGTTTTGTTCAAATTGATAGTCCTCCTTTAATGTTTATGGTCATACAACATATGTTTTTTACAAAAGGTGTGGTGATCAATTTATGGGATCAATCAAAGAAAAATAATCATAGGTTATTTACCTAGTTATTGGAAAAGTTCAGCATAAAGGAAAACTCAAAATTGATGGAACCTGATCAATAGAAGATCCTTTAGGCTTATACATTGCACATTGTATAATTATGAGGAAATTCATTTCAAACAACTTATTGAGATCAGTATGAATTATTGAACGAAAGATTCTAAAGAGAAAAGAAACAAAAAAACATGAGAGGATTTGAAAATATTGGTATACAGACTTGGAATTGTTTTTTAGGGTAGTAATATTAGGTTTATGGGTTTTGTGAGGTTATAACATGAAACAAAAGCATTATATTATACATCAACGACTTTAATATTGATGGGTGATAAGGAGTAGTAAAAGTTATTGAGAAAACTGGACTTTTTCAAAGTTGGTAAACATGGGTTTTACAGGTAGTTTACATATGTAATGGTGGTGTTGGTAATATTTAAGGTTGCCAAGAGGATTTTCCGGAAGTTTTAAGGCTATACATAATGATTTAACATTGCAGGATCAAGAGAGTAGGAGCAATAGCTGTGTAAAGTGGTGAAAATGGGTGAATTTTGTCAAAAATAGAGGTTTTCAGCTTATTACATATATCAAATGACATAAGGATTGGATCTTGGATAGCTGATTCATTGTGAAAGGGGGGATTACATAATGTACAACCTTTAAACCATTAGTAACAGACGTGTGTGAAAGAATTGATAAGGGAAATAAGAAACTGGTGTGGATTTTGAACGTTACACTTACATCCATACATGTAACAACATTTACATATAAAACCTTAACTTCATAGCTCAATAACTCATCCATTACTTATAAAAAGTACCTGATATGGCGCCAATTATTGATCAGTATCACCAGCTCTACAAGATGCACTTTAGTAATCCAAAATTGGACATCATTTGGAAAAACCCGTCACTTCACAAAGAAGTTTTCAGCCAGTTTACAAGGAAAAAATCACCTGTATTCATCATAAGAAGTGCTGTACATCATTCAACTACGTCATTGATCACTTTTGGCTGT